ATTGCAAATGGTATTGATTTCCTTATTTCTTTTTCAGCAATCTCTTTGCTGGTGTAGAGGAATCCAACTGATTTTTGGATGTTGATCTTGTATCCTGCCACAATGCTAAATTTCAATTAGTTCTAGTAGATTTTTGACTAAGTCTCTTTGGTTTTCTAGGTATAGGATCATATCATCAGCTAATAGGGATAGTTTGCCTTCTCCTTACCAATTTGGATGCCTTTGATTTCCCTTTCTTGCCTTGTTGCACTGGCTAGGACTTCCAATATTGAATTGAATATTCCAATATTCAACTTCCAATGTTGAATAGAAGTGGTGATAGAGAGCATCTTTGTCTGGTTCCTGTTCACAAGGGAAATGGTTTCAGTCTCTCTCCATTGAGAATAATGTTGGCTGTTTGTTTTGCATAGATGCCCTTTATTATGTTGAGAAATGTCCCTTCTATTCCTATTTTGCTGAGAGTTTTGATCAGGAATGGGTGTTGGATTTTATCAAATGCCTTTTCTGCATCAATTAATATGATCATGTGGTTCTTTTCCTTTGTTTTATTTATGTGATGGATGATATTGATTGTTTTTCTAATGCTGAACCATTCTTGCATACCTGATATGAACTCCACTTGGTCATAATGTATTATTTTTTTTGATACACTGTTGAAGTCCATTGGCTAGGAATTTTTTGAAGATTTTTGCATCTATATTCATGAGGGATATTGGTCTGTAGCTTTCCTTTTGAGTGATGTCTTCACCTAGTTTGGGTATCAAGGTATGCTTGCTCCATAAAATGAATTTGGGAGGAGCCCATCCTTTTCTATGTTCTGGAATAGTTTGAGTAGGATTAGTGTCAGTTCTTCTCTGAATGTTTGGAAGAATTCTCCGGTGAACTCGTCTGGGCCAGGACCTTTGTTTTTTGTTAGTAATTTTTTTATGACCTGTTCAATATCTTCTTTTGTTTAACTTTTCCACCTCAGTCTGCTAACAGCCACATTTTTAAAAGTAAAAAGAAACAAATGAAATTTATTTTAATAAAATATTTTATTTTACCCAGTAGAAAATGTTTATAAAATATTAGGAATAAGTTAGTTTGTATTCTTGTTCTCAAACTAAGCCTATCTCAGTCAGGCCTAACCACATCACAAGAGCTCAGTAGCCACTTCTAAGCAGCTCCAGTATTGGACAGCACAGCTCTATAACAAGAAATTCAGAGCACCTGACAGATTCACTCCTGTGTGCATCATTATTCCCAACCTTCAATATAATTTGTATTTCTTTGTGGTAGTATAATATTGTGGCATATACTTAATTCAGATTGGAATCTAGCATTGAGAACATATTTCTATTATTTAACTGTTTATTTGAATCTCCCATCATTACCTTTTTACTTACTTTTACAGTCGTGAGAAAGGTCATCTCATTGTTAAGATCTCTTGATATCATCAAAATCCTTTTTTTTCATTCTTGATTGAAAGTTGATCCTCCCGCTTTGACTAATTTGACCTTCACTCTGACACCAGAGTGACACTTATAAAAGGCAATTTTGATCATTGTCCAACTACTGAAGGGTTATTGGAAAATATCAAGCCCTTCATAATCTAACCTGTTTGACCCTCTCATTTCAGTTTCTACCACTCTTCCTTTTTATACTGTTTTCTGAAGTTTGCAAACTGTATGTGTTCCTTGCATATGACATGTTATTTTGGCCTCCACACCTTGGAACATGCTGTTCCTTTCACCTGAAATATTTCTCTTTCAATTTCCAGGTTAATTTCTGGTCATCAGCCAAAACTCAACTTTCAGTCCAGTCCAGTTGAATAAATTTATTGACCACACACTACTTCCTTGAGGATAAAAACTGTGTTTTATTTATCTTTGTGCCACCAGCATCAAGTACCAGGGTCTGACAGTGAAATATAAATAAAATATGAATTTGTTGATCTTACCTAAATGTACTTCATTTTTAAGTAGACTCAGTTATAAATTATTAACAAGTGGAAACGTTAAAAAGAAAGTCATTCCTCTTTTCAATTTTAGTAATAAATTTAATTGATTATATTTTCACTGCTTTTAATGCCAACATTAAAAGACTGTCAGTGTTTTTATTCTGTTTCAATTCCAGTACATTTCATTTCCCAAAATACTGTTGAAAGTGAAAGGTCTGACGCAGAGAGTTTCATTATCTCTAAAACACACACTATAAATTCTTCCAATAGATAAAAAATAAATATAAGTGGTGATATGTCTCCAAAGCCCTACTTTAGATTGTGATGAATTTTGAGAAAAAATATACTTATCCTAGGCCACAATCCCAAGGAATAAGCTGATAAGATTTTAGTAAAATAGCCAAACAAAGTATTCAGCATATTCCACACAAATACCCTACTTGAATAGTCAGATGGAAACACACACACACAGAAATAAAAGAGTCTGATAACTAGAACTTTATTCCCAAGATAGTACAATTATTTGCTGTATAAATAATTATAACCAGACATAAGCAGCTCTGTTTTAAGCTTTAGGTACCAGTGCAAGACTATTTCTTAAGACTTGCAAAATTTCGAGTTTTACAGCTTCCCAGGAGATATAGCATCTCTTGAGAAGAAGGAAGCATCATAAAATAATAAAGACAAGAACTTCTTCCTTCTAACAAGTTGTCCTGAACCAATAAAAATAAATGCTAAAAACATCCTTTATCTGGGAATGCCATTCACAAGGGACAGGGTGGGAGGGTGGAGGCAAATTTCTCTTCCTGTTTCCTATGGTCCTTTTGGGATGGGAAAACAAAAGCCAGCTGGACTATTATGAAGTAAACAGAACAATGAAGAAAAGGGAAAATTGGACACAGTAGATTAGATTTGAGCCAGGACAAAAAGAGAGGATAGCTGGCTGATACAAAAAAGCAAAACCAAACTCACTGCCATCAAGTCAGATCTACCTCATAGCGGACCCCCTCCTTGGGTTTCTAAGGCAATATCACTATGGTAGTAGATTGCCCAATCTCCTTGGTGGGTTTGAACTTCCAGCCTTCTGGTCGGCACTCAAATGCCTTAGGCACTACACCATCAGAGCTCCTAGCTGTCTGATAAAACCGAAAAAAACAAACTCACTGCCATTGAGTCGGATTGGACTCATAGTGAGCCCTCCTTGGGTTTCCGAGGAGATTATCACTACAGAAGTAAATTGCCCAACCTTCCTTCTGAGGAGTGGCTAGTGGGTTTGAACCGCCAGCCTTCTGGTTAGCAGTCAAATGCCTTAGGCTCTACGCCACCAGGGATAGCAACATTTAATTAAATCCTATTTGTGTCCTCACTGGTATCTGAATTTGTTTACCATTTCTTGTTTCTACTAAATGTCTCTGGTTGGAGTAAGAGGTTTTGCTTGATTGCTATCCTGAAGGTTGGTGGTTAGAAGCCATCCAGTGGATCTTTGGAAGAGAGATCTAACAATCTGCTTCCATAAAGATGACAGCCAAGATAATTCTATGGAGCAGTTCTCTGTAACACATGAGTTTGCTACAAGTTGGAATCAACTGGATGGCAACAGTTTGTTTGGTTCCGGCTAAATCTCCCTGCACTTTCAGGACTATTGAAATTTTCTCTTTAATTATCTCTACTCAATAGAGTAGAGATAAACATTTATTTTAGGCAATAATTTTTAGTCAAAGAAAACTTCTGGTCACTCACACTATGATTATGGAAACTGACCAGTTTCCTTCCTATTTCTTGACTTTCTTGCTCCCTGGCCTGGGGCTTTGGCTCATAAAAAGGTGCAGGCTTAGAACAGCACAGTTTGTTCCAAGCTGTGAGTTCCTCTCTAGGTCATATCCAGTGTCTGGGTGCCAAATCTTGTTTACAAAACACCTGAACAAATACTTTGGCTGCTTCTATTTCTAAAATTAATCTTCAAAATACAGAGATGTGCTTTTTAAGTAAATTCCTCATGATGCAGGAAGCATGTGAGCGAATAGGTTATAGACAGGATCTCAAAATACCCTGCCTGTCCTTTGTTCTGGTTTTGAAATTCCCTGTTGAGTCAGTTAGTTGCTCAATACTGAAGAGCACTTAAATATAAGTAATGCGATAGTAAACAGACTATCTGGCCAGATGCATCTAAAACATAGCTCTTGTTTTACAAGCACATATACAGGTTTATTTTAACTGTTTCTTTTGGATTTTTCCACAGCTATTAATATTACTCAGCCCAAGTTCGGTGGCACAGATGCCTTTGGCTACACCTCATTCCTGGCTTATTCACGGATACCAGATATTAGCTTCGATTATGAATTCCACTTGAAGTTTCAGCTGGCAAACAACCATTCAGCTGTGCAAAATAACTTGATATTTTTTACGGGACAGAAGGGCCATGGTAAGATTAACTGAACCTTCTAGGACTTGCTTAGCTCCTTTAAGGATACTTTATAGATTCTTCGGGGGCACTCTAATTGGCTGTGGATCAAGCAGACATTTGCCTAGATGTAGCCTCCTCCTGTTTTCTGCCTCCAGCATGTTCCTTCTGGTCCAAAGTGTTCAGCAGCTCCCTGACCTTTTTCTGAAGCTCTGGTTCACAACAGGGCTATCTCATAATTAAGGGCATGCATTCCTGCAGGCAGACATGAAGGTAACCAAATCATATGAGTAGTGAATGTATTGACTTGCTCTTTCCTCTGTTTCTTTCTATTTCCATTATAAAAAGAAAAAAGGGAAATTCTCCTAAAGAACATCATTTTATAGTGTAGTATGAAAGGAGAATGGCTGTTACCCTCGAAGAAATCATCACAAATTAAAGAAGGAAGAAATTAAGAAAGTACTCAGCATGTTTAATAAAATATTCCACTGCCCTAGTATTAGGAGCTCTGGTAGCATAGTGCCTAAGGCACTTGACTGCTAACCAGAAGGCTGGTGGTTCAAACCCACTAGCCACTCCTCGGAAGGAAGGTTGGGCAATCCTACTTCCGTAGTGATACTGCCTCGGAAACCCAAGGAGGGGTCGCTATGAGTCGGGGCCGACTCAACGGCAAATAACAACAACAAGTATTAGTGGGAAATAAGCTTATAACTTAAATTGCTCTCTCTTAAATAGGAACCAGTTATGCATGTGTGTGATCAAAGAAATGCACATATGTTTTACTCTTAAGTCTGCAACTAACTAAGTAAGCAATTAATCAGTTACCTTCTCTGAGCTCAACTGTGTCATCTGTAAAATCAACACACTACATTGGAAAAAGACCATCATTAGGTCTATTATTATGGGGTAAATAAAATATTTTTTTCCTTTGAACTCACTGAATAGTAGCCTCCTAATACTAAGAATACTTTCCCTATTGACACATCTCAGCAGAGCCCAGGCCCCAAGTGAAGTGTGCTATAGCACTCCCTCACAACATCTGTGATGATTGAAGACACTTTATCATATGTACTACTGTTCATTCCACCTCCACAATTGGCCAGAAGCTGTCCACTCTTCCCATCTACTGTCAAAACTTTATGGCTCCTCCTACCTTATCTCCTGACTGCCTCTCCAGCCTTCAATCCTATCCATACTCTAGCAAGATTTACATTCTTAAAAGCTCTTAAAAGATCAGGTCTGAAACTTGCTTAAAATCCCCAAGACTATCCTTAGAATTGTCCTTAGATAATTATCCTTCAATAAAATCCAAAATCAGCTTCTTTTTTTTTTTTATTGTGATTTGGGTGAAAATTTACAAAGCAAATTCACTTTCCATACAGCAGTTCACCTACACTTTGTCTCATGACATTGACCACAATTTACCACAATGCAACAGCTCCCCTCCCACTTCCTCCCAATAATTACCTCCTCCCTGTTTCCATCCCTCCATGCCCTCCTGCCCCCTGAGCTGTCTCCCTGTGCATAAGCATCCCTTCTTTCTCCCATGATTGTTCTCTCCAAGGAGTGTATGTACCTCAGGTAAATGTTCAACTCATATGCCTGTCTTTTGCTTAGCTGGAACCCACAGGTATGAGTTCAATTCCACACCTGACAGGCAGCTAGGGGCCATAGTCTCAGTGGTTCCACCAGGCTCTATCAGACCAGCACACCTGGTCTCCCCCAACCCTTTTTTTTTTTTCTCCAAATGCAAAATCAGCTTCTTCTTGTTGTTCTTAGTTGCCACTGAGTCCTTCCCTGACTCAAAACACTACCTGCCAAAAAAAAATTCACTGCCCTTGAGTGGATTCCAACTCACAGCCACCCCTTCTTGGGTTTCTGAGGTGGTATCTCAACAGAAGTAGATTGCCCAGTCTTCCTTCCAAGGAGTGGCTCGTGGGTTTAAATTGGTGGTTAGCAGTAAAATGCCTTAGGCACTATGCCACCAGAGGTCCCCAAAACAACCCCATACACAGGCAAAGCAAACTCTGCCTGGCCCTATGCTGTCCTCGTGATTGTGGATTAGACCATTGTGTTCAATAAGGTTTTCATTGGCTGATTTTCAGAAGTAGATCACCAGGCCTTTCTTCCTGGTCTGTTTTAGTCTGGAAGCTTGGCTGATACCAGTGCAGCATCATAGTAACACTTAAGCCTCCACTGAGGGACAGGTGGGGGCTGCACATGAAGTTCATTGACAGGGAAGTGAACCCAGGTCTCCCTTATGGAAAGTAAGAATTTTACCACTGAACCACCAAAGTCCCCCATAAAAGTTCCTTACCATGTTCTAAAAGGGCCTTGCAAAACTAGGTAGGCCCTTTCCTCTAGTATACCACTCTCACCCTCTCTGTCTCCTCTCCTACAGGTTTTCTTCCAATACATCAACCACCGAGCACTTTCCTGCCTCAGACCCTTCCTTCCTGCCTGCTCTTCCCTCTGCTTATCAGAGACCCAAGACAGGCCTGGCAGTGTGGGCTTGAATCCAGTCTCCACCATTTACAAATTATATGTTAAGTTATGTAATGTCCCTTTGGTTTAGTTTCATCATCTTAGTATCTAATTGGGTATAATAATTTTAAATACCCTAATACAGTTCCAAGGGATGCATTATCCAAGGCCAGGCCCTCAGGCAGGTAGGCGGGCAGGCAGGCATGTAGCTCGGGGCTTTCTGGGGGCAGCTTTATTCAAGGCCAGCCCCTGGGCAGGTACGCGGGCAAGTGGTGAAGTGAGTAGATCAGTTAGGAATGACTAAGGGAGACTAACTTGTCTGTCAGTTTGTCCTCTTGTGGTGGCTTGCATGTTGCTGTGAGGCTGGAGGCTATGCCACTGATGTTGCAAAATACTAGCACGGTTACCCATGGTGGACTGGTTTCAGCAAAGCTTCAAGACAAAGACAGACTTGGAAGAAGGAAGAGACCATCCACTTCTCAGATAATTGGCCAATGAGAACCTCACTTTCAGCAAGCAAACTTGTGCCATCTGTGTATCGAAGGTTGTTAATGAGTCTTCCTCCAATCCTGATGCCATGTTCTTCTTCATATAATACAGCTTCTCGTATTATTTGCTCAGCATACAAATTGAATAAATATGGTGAAAGGATACAACCCTGATGCACCCCCTTCCTGATTTTAAACCATGCAGTATCCCCTTCTCTTTGAATGACAGCCTCCTGATCTATGTACAGGTTCCTCATGAGTAAAATCAAGTGTTCTGGAATTCCCATTCTTCTCAATGTTATCCATAATTTGTTATGACCCACACAATTGAATGCTTTTGCATAGTCAACAAAACATAAATAAACATCTTTCTGGTATTCTTGGCTTTCAGCTAAGATCCATCTGACATCAGCAATGATATTCCGCATTGTACATCCTCTTCTGAATCCAGCCTGCATTTCTGGAAGCTCTCTGTCAATATACCGCTGCAACCATTTTTGAATTATCTCCAGCAAGATTTTACATGCATGTGATATTAATGATGTTGTTCAATAATTTCCGCATTCTTTGGGATCACCTTTCTTTGAAATGGGTACAAATATGGATCTCTTCCAGTCAGTTGGGCAGGTAGCTGTCTTCCAAATCTCTCGGCATAGCTGAGTGAGTGCCTCCAGTGTGGCATCTGTTTGTTGAAACATCTCAGTAGGTATTCAGTCAATTTCTGGAGCCTCGATCTTTGCCAATTTTTTTCAGTGCGACTTTGACTTCTTCCTTCAGTATCACTGGTTCTTGATCATATGTCATGTCTTGAAATGCATGGACATTGACCAATTCTTTTTGGTATAGTGACTCTGTGTATTCCTTCCATCTTCTCTTGATGTTTCCTGCATCATTCAATATTTTGCCCATAGAATCAATATTGCAACTCAAGGCTTAATTTTTTTCTTTAGTTCTTTCAGGTTGAGAAATGCCAAGAATGTTCTTCCCTTTTGATTTTCTAACTCCGGTCTTTGCACATTTTGTTATAATAGTTGGCTTTGTCTTCTTGAGCTGCTCTTTGAAATCTTCTGTTCAGCTCTTTTATATTGTCATTTCTTCCATTTCCTTTAACTACTCTCCATTCAAGGGCAAATTTCAGAGTCTCTTCTGACATCCATTTTGGTCTTTTCTTTCTTTCTCTTTTTAATGACCTCTTGCTTTCTCCATGGATAATGTTCTTGATGTCATCCCACAATTCCTCTGGTTTTCTGTCACTGGCGTTCAATGCATTAAATCTATTCTTTAGATGGTCTCTAAATGCAGAAGGGTTTTATTATCAAGGTCATATTTTGGCTCTTGTGGACTTATTTTAATTGCCTTCAACTTAAACTGAACTTGCAAATGAGAAGTTGGTGGTCTGTTCCACAATCAGCTCCTGGCCTTGTTTTGGCTGAAGATATTGAACTTCTCCATCACCTCTTGCCACAGATATAGTCAATCTGATTCCTGTGTATTCCATCTGGTGAAGTCTACGTGTATAGCCTCTGTTTGTGTTGTTGAAAAAAGGTATTTGCAATGAATAAGTCATTGGTCCTGCAAAATTCTATCATGCAATCTCCAGCATTATTTCTAACACCAAAGCCATATTTTCCAACTACCAGTGACCCTTCTTTGTTTCCAACTTTTGCATTCCAGTCACCAGTGATAATCAACACATCTTGATTGCATGTTTGGTTAATTTCAGACTGCAGAAGTTGGTTGAGATCTTCAGTTTCCTCATCTTTGGCTTTGGTGGTTGGTGCATAGAATTGAATAATAGCAGTATTAACTGGTCTTCTTTGTAGGGTTATGGTTATTATCCTATCACTGACAGCATTCTGTTGTGCATAGGGTCGCTGAGTCAGAAATGACTCATAGGCACCTAACAACAACAATAATATAGTTGTGAGAATGAAAATATTTAATGCATAAAAAGCATTTCAAATGATATTGGACTCATAATAAAAACTCAATAAACATGGTAGCTTGTATTTTCTCAGGAAGGTTTTCTCCGTTCACTATAATGAAAGT